TAACATAATAATGTAGATACTGCATATGTACAATAGTACAATGCATGCATATGTAACTTAAATTTCTAAAATGTCGGTAACGATGACTGCGACACGAAAATGGTAATGGGGCTGTAGTGCTCAGTAAGTTTGCTCATATAAGTATAGTCTCGTCTATGGTTATTGCTTTGTATACATTTTCATAAGTTTTTCGCGGGTAAAATGGCGTTGTGGAACAAAGTTTTAACAGGATTTGACAAAGACGAGGAAACTATAAATTTTGGAACACGAACGGTTGCAGAAAATAATGGCTCGTTATATGAAACTTTTACAATTGCCACGATACGATCCGATGGAGAGGTAAATTGTTATTTATTTCGTTCTGATAAAGACAAACTCATGTGTCCGGCATTTGACGGTTGGAGTTTGTTTCTATACAGGGTATTATCCAGTGTTACCGAAGTCAAACAAAATTAATCAGATTGTTTCGTTTTAAGCTTCGTTTGCGAGAAAATCGAGTTTTAAAATTGTTACAAGTCCTCATGCCCGAGCCATGAACATGATTTTTTATAAACTTGATTTATTCGAATATAATTTTTTATGAACTTTTAATTTGATTCTAATTCATATTTTTAATACAGTAGGCTTTTATCTAATGTTTGCAGTGATTGTAAATAGTCTGCAATCATTGTAATCAATGTTGAGGATTTTATTTCAAATAATTACCAATAATTTTTTTATTTTCTTCAGATAAAACAGCAGCCAAATGTTGTGGCATCTGTACAATATTCAAGGATTTGTGTAGCAATTGATAAGTCAATTACTATATTTGAAAATGAAACATGTGAAAAAATGTTATTAAATGCAAGTTTTGGTTTGTCAATAGTCACTTACTATATTTCTGATAATCGTTCATATCTATTTGTTGTATTGTCAAATGGAGTTTTATATTGTCTTTATTTGTTATCTGGACAAGTAATTTTTATGAAGTAAGTACAAAAATTATATTAAAATATTATATAGGTATCTTATAAACATGATATGTTAAACTTTATATTCTTTTTAACATTTAGAAATATTACAAATGATGGAGATTCTATAGTGACAATATTTTTACAACATGAATGTGATGAATACATTGTATATCTCATTGCAAAAAGTGGAGCTATCTTTAGGTAATTACAATATTTAAATGTTAATAACATATATTAGAGATACTTTCATTTTTTAGGGTATCAAAGTTCAACTATAAACATTTTGAAGCTGCTATTTCAAATGAAGACAATGTAACTGTGCAAGAACTTGCAGATCAAATTCAATGTACCCAATTATTTAAAGGATTTAATGACAATGAGGTTGGACTTTTGAATTTACCCTTAACTTTTTCATATAAAGTAACATAAAAATGAAATCATAAATATTTTATAGGTAATATATGCTACCATTGATATGGTATGTAAAGAAATAACAGTAGCAATATTGTGTTCAAACATGTTGTTTATGTGGCCCAGTGAACAATATTTTAATTTTAATGGTGAAAGCTACAATTATACTAAAGTAAAACTTTTTAAAAACAATGTGTGAGTATTTGTGAATTTTTATATCAATAGTTTTTATACTACTATATAAATTAATAATATCATTAATCTGAATAATTATAGTGCAATGTTATGTTTATGT